AATTGACTCTTTGTTCCCTTTATAGAATCCACGTGCAATGTCAGGATGTAATTCCATCACTGACACTAAATGCTGCAGTTGGGTTTTATTTGTCTTCGACATACAAAGAATTTATTTATTTCTATTTCGATTTATATTTGAAAAACCATACATACATTTTTTATCTCCCTTCGATTTTGTTTGTGAGATATTTTAAGAGGAAAAACACAAATTTAACTTTCTTATGATGCCTACTTTTTCTCCTTTCTCCCTTTAATTCCACGCTGAATTTGTTTACGATTGCGGAAAAGGGAGAAGAAAGAAATTCGCACGGAATTATTTTGACGATTAGTCTGATTGTAAGAGGTCAAGAATATTACGTCGCGTCTAACATGTCAGGTAATTAGAATGGAGTGCAGACCATTATTAAATCAAAACCAGTAAGGAAAGTAGTAAAGTCGGGCTGGGCCGACTATATGATACCCTTCACCACTTTGGGTATATTCTACATATGTATCCAGCTTAGCAACATCATTTTAGACTTAATTCAGTACTTCAGTAGTGTTGGCGGTTTATTTGGGATACCATTTGTATTTTGTTTTTATAAAAAAGAACTATTTATTAGTGAGGAATGTATGGCATTGATTGCCGAGGGGTAAGGCAGGGAAGACTATAGTTTCGGATCACGCCACTGATCCTCATCAGTTCCCTTAGTTTTTTGTTGGGATATTCTCCCCAGAAGCTATTAATAGCTTCTTTACAAAAAACCTTTCAAACCCAAATGTCTCTTGTAACAACGCGAAGTACTTAGCTGACCAACGTACCCTATACCAAAATTCGTGCAAATCGAAAGATATATAGGGACTTTGGTGCACCAATTACATAAAATATATCTAAATCTGAACCGATTTTCACGAAACTTTGCAACATCATTCTAGACTTAATTCAGTACGCTATGCCAAAATTCGTGCAAATGAAAAGATTTCCAGGGACATTGGTGCACCAATTACCTACAATCGGGCGAAAATATATATGGGAGCTATATCTAAATCTGAACCGATTTTCATGAAACTTAACACAAATTATTACAGACTCAAATGTCAGTACGCTATGCCCAATTTCGTGCAAATCGAAAGATATATAGGGTCTTTGGTACACCAATTACCTTAAATCGGATGAAAATATATATGGGAGCTATATCTAAATCTGGACCGATTGTCACGAAACTTTGCACACATCATTCTAGACTTAATTCAGTACGCTATACCAAAAGATTTCCAGGGACTTTAGTGGACTATTTACCTAAAATCGGGCGAAGCTAAACTTAATTTAGTACGCTATGCCAAATTTCGTGCAAATCGAAAGATATATAGGGACTTTGGTACACAATTTACCTTAAATCGGACGAAGATATATATGGGAGCTATATCTAAATCTGAACCGATTTTTATGAAATTTTGCACACATCTTTCTAGACCTAATTCATTACGCTGTGCCAATTTTCGTGTAAATCGAAAGATATATAGGGACCGTTTACATTAAATCGGACGAAAATATATATGGGAGCTATATCTAAATCTGAACCGATTTTTCCCAATTTCAATAGGGTTCGTCCTTGGGCCAAACAAATGAGCTGTGCCAAATTTCATCCAATTCGGATCATAAATGCGACCTGTACTTTGTTTACAATTTTACATCTACAGACGGACAGACGGACGGACGGACATGCATAAATCGACTCAGAAAGTGATTCTATGCATATTCTCAAAAGGAACCATGGGTCTATCTCGATTATTTTTGCCTGTTACAAACATATGCACTAAGACATAATACCCTGTACCACAGTGTGGTGAAAGGTATAATTAATTTCTGCGGTATAAAATCATTGCTCTTTTCACATTTTAAAATTAAGTTTAAATACAGCTTCAAAAATTCGAAATATGCGAAGTATAGTTTCTGAAATTTTGCACATTTACTTGTTCTTTAGGAAATCCAAAAGGGTCTGCTACATTATGTAGAATATTTTGAGAAGCAAGTAAATCTTTCAAACAACTACATTCATATTATGAAACACGATGTGTTGAGCAGCATGATTGTATACAAATATTTAACGAATCTATAGAATAAACAGGGAAAATGGTAAGATTTAATTTGGATTTATTTCTAAGAAGTTGAAGTTTCAGTGCCTAGAAGGGTTGTTCCGCAAAAGTAGAGGTCAAATGTAATGAGTTGGAACACATAACTAGTGAAGTGAAAGTGCTGATTCGAAATATGCATTTTTTTAATACGCAAAACATTTGATATATACGCAATACGTTAAGAGTAATGAAGTTATATATTTTTGTGAGCTTAATGAATATAAAATATTGTCCTTAGTTCTAATGCATTTTCGCGATTAGTAATGTTTTTCTGTGTATTTTCTATTAAGGGAACCCCCCCATTCTCAATTTTAATTCTTCAAGATTTTCAATGGGCTGGTAAATCAATACCAATGCTTGTTAAGGTTTGTAACTTTGCACATATAAGATTGAAGATTTAAAAGAGAAGAAAAATAGTTCACAAAAAATCTTTGTTATTGTTTTGTTGTTGTTTTTTGCAATTAAAGAAAAGACCTTATTTTTGATGGCGGGCATGATAACTCCTCACTGCAACATCGAAATCCGAAAATTCCAACGGTGTTAGAAAGAGTACATGTCTGGCTCTCGTATGAACTAGGATTTTTGACTTCGCTCTAAAATTAACAAAATGGTGGACCTTTGAAAAAAATATTTTTGGAAAATCGCCGATTTTTTACCAAAAACCAAGCCGATTGGCTTTATCCTAGTTCATACGAGAGCTAAACACTCCCAGAGAAACGTTGCAAAATTTGGAACCGATTGGATTATTAGTTTTTGAGTTATCGTGCCCGCCATTCGCAAAAAATGTTTAGAGAAAAACGCGTTTAAAGTTTGAGAAGCCCTTCAGCCGTCACTTGATGCTGACGCAATAAATCGGATATATCTTCAAGAGTTCTTGAGATTTTCACTTGAAATTTTGTAGGAACATTCTTTAATCAGTGTAGATTCCAAATATATCAACAAAAATTTTGACCCCGAGAATGGCGGGGTCCCCTTAAACATATAAAAACGTAACGTGCGTACAAATTATTTATATTAAAATAATAGATTTTTATACCCTCCACCATTGTATGGAGGGTATATTCATTTTGTCATTCCGTTTGTAACTCATCGAAATATTCATTTCCGACCCTATAAAGTATATATATTCTTGATCAGGGTAAATCAGGACGATCTAGCCATGTCCGTCTGTCCGCCCGTCTGTTGTAATCACGCTATCTTCTGAAGGAATTGAGATAGGGTGCTGAAATTTTGCATAGGGTTGTCTTTTGTCTGCAGGCAGGTCAAGTTCGAAGATGGGATATATCGGTCCACGTTTAGGCATAGCTCCTATATAAGGGTACCCGCCAAATTTCGGTATTTTTGGGTTCTTGAGCGCGTTTTTCAGCCAAATTCCCTGAAATTTGGTACATTGGGTTCTTATTGGGTACTAAATATCCGTACAAAAAATTATAAATATAGGTCCACTATTTCCAGTAGCCCCCATATAACGGTACCTCCTAATTTTCAGTTTTTTGGGGATTTTACTCGTATTTTTCCACCGAGTTGGCTGTAATTTAGTAATTTGAGTTCTTAATAGGTTCCAAATCTCTCCACAAAAAATTATGGACATAGGTCCATTTTTCCGGGTAGCCCCCATATAAGGGTACCCCCAATTTTCGGTATTTTGGGGTTCTTGAGCGCATTTTTCAACCGAATTCGCTGCAGTTTAGTATTTTGTAGTCGTATACGGTAACAAATCTTTCCACCATCTGATTATCTGATTTGTTCCGCGTTTTGAGTTTGGTTCTAAGCCTCTGATGTAATCATTTCACCTGCGGAGGATATCGAGATAAACAAGTAGAACGTAAGGTTCGATAATGAACTATAACCCGCATTTAGACCTAGCCCCTCTATGGAGGTTCCAGAATAAGTGGACCGATATTCCCCATTTTCGAATTTGAACTAAGATTGGAAAAAATAATAAGATGGACAAAGTTTGGATGAAATGTAAATTTTTTGAAACCGATTTGGTCCAAAGAAACATGGGGTCTAGAACCAATATTTCGAGTAGCCACATTTTCACCTTGTTAATGTGTATATTCCCTCAATAGCGGTAAAATGAGGGTATAATTATCCATTAAAAATTTCTGAATTTTTTATTTTTGCTTACATAATCCGTTTTTAGAAATGTCGGTATAGGTCCACTTTTTGGAATGTTCCCTATATTTTCATTTCTAGTACCTGTCAGTACCTATGGAGGGTATCCAAAGTTCGGCCCGGCCGAACTTAACGCTTTTTCACTTGTTTATATTAAAATCGTTATCTGATTTGTTCTGTGTTTTGGGTTAGGTTCTAAGACTCTGTTGTAATCTTTTCACCTGCGGAGGACCTCAATATAAAAAAACTAGAAGTTAAGGTTCGATAATGAACTATAACCCGCATTTAGACCTAGCCCCTGTGTGGGAGGTACCAGAAGGAGTGGACCGGTATTCCCCATCTTCGAAATGGAACTAAATTTGTAAGAAATAGTAAGATGGTCAAAGTTTGGATGAAATCTAAATTTTCTGAAACGGATTTTGTCCAAAGAAACATGGTGTCTAAAACAAATATATTTCGATGAGGCACATTTTCACCGTGTCAAAGTGTATACACTCTCATCTCAATTACCTCAGCCTTATGGCTAAGGCTGAGGGTAATTTATCCATATTGAAATTTGTATTATGGTTTATATTCCCTATATTTTCATTTCAAGTACCTGTCAGTATATCTATGGTGGAGGGTATCCAAAATTCGTCCCGGCCGAACTTAACGTTTTTTCACTTGTTTTAACATAATCATCTACTTATCTCATATTTAAGGAAGGCAAAATTTGACTTTTTTCATTTCGCACCATGTTTACAAGCGTACAAAAGCATTTTATACGTGATGGAATAGTGTGATTTCTTTATACTTGGCTGGAAACCCACAAGTAGCTATCGTTCGAGCATTCCAGCATTTAAATGTGAATAAATCTTTTGTGGCTCGTACCATCGCTCATTACCGTGATACTGGAGCGTAGCCCGACGTCAAGGAAGTGGACGGAAGAAAACAGCAACATCAGCAGAAATGGTTCGAAAAGTAATGAAGCGATTTGATCGAAACCCGCGTCGCAGTGGGCGAAAAATGGTTCGTGAGCTGAACATATCGCAATATTGCATTCGGCAAATATTAAAAAATGAGCTCAGGGTAAAGGCATTGAAATTCCAAAAAGAGCAAGAACTTACACCGCAACAGAAAGAAAATAGGCTCAACGAGCTAAAGAGTTGCTTCGCTTGGCCGAACGTGGTGTAAACAAAGAGGTCAGCTGAAAACATGCACATTCAGTTGGCCACCAAATCTCAAGCGCCGGCCATGGTGATGGTGTGGCCCGCCATAACAGCCGATGGTCGCTCTCCGCTTGTATTAATCGACCGTGGCATCAGCATAATTGCCGAATATTATCGCGAAAATATTCTGGAGGGTGTATTAATGCCTTGGGCATACAAACATTTTGGCCGCAGACCTTGGACATTCCAATAGGACTCAGTAACATCGCACTCAACACGCGCCACCCATGAATGGTTACAAATTAAGGTTCCTCGCTTCATTTCCAGCGCGAAATGGCCAACAAAATCTTCGGATACCAATCCGTTGTACTATTATTTCTTGAGTATTTTGGAAAGCAAGCATTTAAAAAGCAACATTCGTCGTGTTATGACTGAGATACAATATTTGTCCAAATTATTTCAAGAGAATCGATCCTTCCGACAGTTCACGTAGAGGTAATTTAAAAGATGTAATATTTCCCATCTATTGTCGTGAAAAAAATATTTTATATGTTTTATTTGCGTTTACTTTTGAAACCTCCAAATAGATAACCTTGTGTATTCAAGAATTTTAATAAATAAAAAATGAAGCAAATGTTCAAATGCGCCATAGGATACAAATAATTTATTTGTAATAGTACATTTGCAAAAACTAATAATAATAATGAAGAATCACATAAAGTCCAATTTTTAAATTGAAAAAATTGAAATTGAAACTCCTCATTGTGCATAACAGGATTTTCGCACTTCCGTAATGTATGTAAGTAAAAGTGACAATGGATCTATCAGGATTCCTTTGGTAAGTTACAAACATATGCACAAATGCATAATACCCCGCATCACAGTACGGCAGTCTATTCAGAAACCAATATTAACAATATTTGGTATATTAACTTACTCATTTCATTATTGCACATATTAATAGTTTTTAAAGAGCTAACTATTTTCCGATAATTTAACAACACTTTTAGAAACGATTTCGAGAAAATTTCACAAGCGAATATCGTATAAAATTTCAATTTCATCGTCAGTCGTTGTTGAACTCGGAAACAGACTAGACGTGTTGAAGCGTAGAACTGCATTATTTTTTTTTCCTTTTTCTCTAAGTCGTTTACAACAATTTCTAATAAAATTGCAACAGTTTTTTCCTGCATTTAAGAAAAAAACAAAAAACAAAAAAAAGAATAGAACAAAAAAAAAACAACAGCATTGCACTGTTTGCCAGTGCTTGCACTGCATGCAGTACTTGCATTGCCCATATGAATTATCAACAACATTATCCAACGTGAATCTTCACTATGAGTGATACAACAGAAAATAAACCAAACAGTGACCGTACTTGTGATTTAAGTGAAGGCAACGAAGATGATGGCAACTGGCAAATTGTTCGTTCTAAGCGAAAAATACCTGGGTCCCCCATAGGCAACTCACCAAAAAGAAAGCAAGTTGTTGACAACCAACCTTCAACTTCAAATCGATATAGTGTTCTCTCATCAACGGAAAATAATAACAACAATGAACACAAATCAGAACCGAAACCACCGCCAATATTTATACCAGATGTTAAAAATATTAACAAAATGATGGATGAATTAAGCAAGATTATCCCAGTTGAAGATTTTAACTTTAAATCACTAGTTAAAGGGGATGTTCGTCTTATGATTAAAAATGTTGATTCGTTTAGAAAAATTGTTAAATAGTCATTAAAAACCTTCAGTAGTCATTAAAAACCTTCATCACACCACCGATGTAACCGATATTAAAGCTTTTTTGATGACGAAAGGCCATGATGTAAGAAGTGTGCGTAACATTATTAGCAGAGTAACGAAAGAACCTGTGCCAATGTTTTTCGTTGACTTAGATCCTAAAAGCAACAATAAAGAGATCTATAACATTCAAGGTATATTTAATAACATTGTTGTTATAGAACCCCCTAAAAAATTTGACGATCTAGTTCAATGCTTTAGATGCCAAGATTGGGGACACACAAAGGCATATTGTCGTAAGCCATTCAATTGTGCTAAATGCAGTTTAGGTCATCCAACATGGGAATGTAAAAAACCAGAGAATGTTCCGGCTCAATGCGTACACTGTTTAAACAGACATACAGCTAACTACAAAGGATGCCCTGTTTACCAAAAACAAGTACAAAAGAAAAAAATCCCCAGTATTCAAAACGCATAGAACCTGTTTATGATAACAGAAATACTGCACCCAATGACACCTCCGATAACTTAGGTTCGTATGCCCAGGTCGTTAGAAGCCAAAATACTGGAGATGCAAACATTCTAAATAAAATAGAAGCCTTGCTATCAAAACAAATAGAAATGACAAATTCATTAATGAATATGATGTCATTATTAATGACTAAACTATGCAAGTAGACCTAATAATTGCTGAGTGGAATGCCAATGGTGTTTCAAACCATAAAAATGAAATAGAATTATTTCTCAATAACAATTTTATAGATATTTTACTGATTTCCGAAACTCACTTTACCAGCAAGTCTTTTTTTCGCATAAATGGCTATGATGTAATAGTAGCAAATCATCCAGACGATCGAGCTCTTGGAGGTGCCGCTTTAATTATAAAATCTAAAATTATTTACGAAGAAGCAGAACCCTTAACAGAAACGTTTATACAGGCTGCTGGTGTCAATATAGTATGCGACAATTCAAAAATTGCAATATACTCCGCTTACTTCCCTCCTCGTTACAATCTAAAATGTCATCAATATGAAAATTTCTTCAAGAACATTGGAAACAAATTTATCGTAGGTGGTGACTTTAATGCCAAACATACTTGGTGGGGTTCTCGTTTGTCAAACCCTAAAGGAAGAGAACTGTATAAATGTATTTCTTCAAATAATTATAACATTTTGTCAACTGGTAGTCCTACATATTGGCCAGGAGACTCAAATAAAACTCCTGACTTAATAGATTTTTTCGTCTTCTCAGGATTATGCCAATCTTCGCTAAGCATCAGTTCAAATTATGACTTACATTCAGATCACAGTCCACTTATTGCTAACTTCACGACCAACAATATTTGTAAGCATAAAATAAAAAAGTTAATCACATCGAAAACAGACATTCCTATGTTCCAACATTTTATTGGACAAAATTTAAATCTAAATATATCGATTAAGACCGGAAAAGAATTGGAAAATGTAGCGGTGCTGCTAGTTTATACACCCTAGAAAATGTTGGCAATAATCACAAACATTTTCACGTTACGGCTGAAATTCGAGCAATGGTTAGAGAAAAGAGACGTTTGCGTAGAATTTGGCAAAATTCAAGACATCCAATGGACAAAACAAATTTATACAGAGCTTCAAATAGGCTTAAAATCCTGCTAAGTGATTATAATAACAAATCTATGGAACATTTCTTAAGCAATCTAAGCCCTAATGAAAATAATGATCACAATTTATGGAGAGCAACAAAATATCTTAAAAGACCACAAAAAAGAAATTTGGATATTAAAAATTCCAATGGAACTTGGTGTAGGTCTAATAAGGATAAAGCCGAAGCCTTTAAAGACCATCTAGAGAATTCGTTTTCACCTTTTGATTTGTGTAACCCAGGACAAAATATGCTGATCACAGATTTTTTGAATGCTCCATGCCAAATGAGTCGCCCTATTAAACCCTTTAGGTATAATGAAGTTTGTGATGAGATTAAAATTTTAAAGAAAAAAACACCAGGTTCAGACTCAATAGATCACAAAGTCATAAAATATTTTCCCAAAAAGGGTGTGGTCTTTCTCATTCAAATTTTCAATTCCATTTTGAATTCCCCCTCGATTCGGGGTCAATGACCTTTAATTCGCGTTAAATGATGGCCTTTAATCCGGGGTCAATGACCCTAAATCCGTATTAAGCCTTAATCCGGGGTCAAGGATCCTTAAATCGGATTAAATGTCCCTTAATCCGGACTAAGTGGCCCTTAATCCGGATTAAGCCTTAAACCTAGGTCAAGGACCCTTAATCCGGATTAAGTATCCCTTAAACCGGATTAAGGGACACATAAGCCGGATTAAGGGACACTTAATCCAGATTAAGGGACACTTAATCCGGATTAAGGGACACTTAATCCAGATTAAGGGTCCTTGACCCAGGTTTAAGGCTTAATTCGGATTATGCCTTAATTTTGGGAACATAAAGTACTAAATTGTACTAAATAGTCATGGTCCGTTTTGAGAATATGCATAGAATCACTTTCTCCGAATTGAGAGAAGTTTGGCCCAAGGACGAACCGTATTGAAATTGGGGAACTCGGTTCATATTTAGATATAAGTGGCCCTTAATCCGGATTATGCCTTAATCCGGATTAAGCCTTAAACCTGGGTCAAGGACCCTTAATCCGGATTAAGTGTCCCTTAATCCGGATTATATGTCCCTTAATCCGGATTAAGTGTCCCTTAATCCGGATTATATGTCCCTTAATCCGGATTAAGTGGCCCTTAATCCGGATTATGCCTTAATCCGGATTAAGCCTTAAACCTGGGATTAAGGGACACTTAATCCGGATTAAACCTTAAACCGGATTAAATGTCCCTTAATCCGGATTAAGTGTCCCTTAAACCTGGGTCAAGGACCCTTAATCCGGATTAAGTGTCCCTTAATCCGGCTTATGAGTCCCTTAATCCGGATTAAGGTACAATTAATCCAGATTAAGGGTCCTTGACCAAGGATTAAGGCATAATCCGGATTAAGGGACACTTAATCCGGATTAAGTGTCCCTTAATCCGGATTAAGGGTCCTTGAACCAGGTTTAAGGGACACTTAATCCGGATTAAGGGACACATAATCCGTATTAAGGGACACTTAATCCGGATTAAGGGTCCTTGACCCAGGATTAAGGCTTAATCCGGATTAAGGGACACTTAATCCGGATTAAGGGACACTTAATCCGGATTAAGGGACAATTAATCCGGATTAAGGG